GTCATTAGGATTTCCTATCAGTTATCCTGATGTATCAAATTATCTGTTAAATTGGGTAAGAAGCCTCTGCTTGTGGACAGACTATGCTTTAATTCCTCGACTTCCCTACAGTCACTTGACCAGATTGTACAGATGCAAACAGTAAATCATGCTGTGCTGCATTCTTACAGCTGGCAATAGTCCGTCTGAGCCCTAGTTCTGCCTTAGCCAGTGAGATGACCTATCAAATTCAATGAAGACGTTCACACACATTTGTTTCAGCACCTTACTGGTTTTAAATTTTGTGCCTCAGTCTTTGCATGTTGCTCATCTGATTCTGGCTTACTGAGCAAAATTATGAATACCTTCCCCACTTTGAATCCTTTCCATACTTGCATGCAGCTTATTTAGTCATCTGACATCAGTCATTTCCATATCTTTGCAACAGGCAGTGCAAACAATGCAACTCGTCATTCATCTGTTCACAGCCTCAGTTTTCCTCTGATCCTGCACATCCGCTTTCCTTCCTGCTCCCTGCCGTTCTCTCACAGAGTCATTCCACCAACTTTTCTACTCCAACACCCTTTCTTCTGTGAAAGCAGCGCAAAACAGAGGAATGCACATACCATCAGTGTTTAACCTGTTACTACTGTCTGTGCCTAGATTTTACAGCTTACCTTGGAGAAACACAAGCCACGTGGAAAGCTCCCAGAAGCCTTTCCCAATGCAGAGAGAAGAGAGTGGTTTGCAGAGGTCTCCCTGTGCTGAGGCTGCCCCAACGAGCAGAAGTGCAGAAGATGTGAAGAACTGGCTCCAGCTGTCCTCCCTTCCTTTCCAGGAGGCTTCTCCTGAAGAAAGCAGCCTGGTAAAAGACTCTGAAAAGGTCCAAGCAGTCTAATGTGGTTAAGGGCTGTACAAGCAGGGCAAAATGCCCCTAGTGCTCAGCTGCTTTGAGCACTTAGATAAGCCCCTCCTGCATTATACAGCTGTGTTACATGATGTGTTGAAGTAAAAAGTAAAAACAGATGGAAGAGAACCTCTGTCTATGAACTTTGCTCTGCTGGGAAGGCTTGGGCTGGCTGCACACAGCACAGGTCAAAGCAAGGCAGTTTGGTCCACTCCCTCAAGCTGTATGAATAAGAATTTGCTAGAGAAAAAAAAATGCATGGGACTATCTGGAATAAGAGAGAACAGCATACAATACCCAAGCACTTCCTTAATAAAAGCTTTCACTAAATGAACAGTTCAGACTCCCAAAGGCACCTTCAAGTATCTGTATCTTCCTAGGCATTGGCATTTCAACATTCATTACCACAAGTCAAGCTAATATATTGCAAGCATGAGTCAATGCCTGCATCTTCTGGCTCCAGAATAAAGGGACGGTTCTCCTTTTTATTTATAAGCTGGGCAAGTGGAGAGAGAGGCATTCAGTTACAGGCAAAGCGCACGCTGCTCTGCAAGGCCGGGTAGGCTGGTTCATACACGGACATATCCGTGCCTTAGCATCCTGAGTCACCAGTACCACAACCCATCTCTACAACCTTTCACGTAAGGCCTCTGAAAATAGCTTCATAAATCATTTTTGTTGCCTTCCAGCGCAAAGCCCATGACCTCCACATTATTCACTGCAGACTTCCAGCTCTGTATAGGGTACACTACAATCCAAACGGGGACTTTCTGGCAAGAAGCGTTTGTGAATATGCGCACAATATAAAACAGGAAGAAGGATTTCAGTTTATCCGTGCTCGCTTGGGCTTGTTTGTTGCTTAAAAAAAAAAAAAAACACCAAAACTGGCAGGCTTCCCACCGCTATGCGATAGCCGAGGAAGGTTCTTGTCACCTGGGGACTCACCTGCTGATGTGTGAGTGAAGAGAGCAATCGCCGGGATTCATGGGGTTTGCAGCATGATCCTAATAAACTCTGTCATGCTACTAGTGTTAAGACAGCAGCGCTGAACAGAAACTGTCTTAAGAACTGCTGACAGCTTCTTTCCAAAAGCTAAAAAATGTCACTTTCATGAGCCGTTCCTTTATGCCAAAGCACAGAATGGATTTCCAAAGGTTTGTGTCTGGTTTTATGCAGTATTTACCAGCCTCTGAAATTTCTTCTGCGCTCAAATCCAGCTTCCTTGATAAAGGAAGATAATACTAGCTTCTGTGAAATACCACATCATCTTACATCCCACACAAAGCTTTAGCCTGAGGATTTCCAGACAGACACAGTTCATCCAAAGCACTCGAAGGTAGTTGGGGGGTCATGGGATCAAGTCACATATGCATTTCCTTTCTTCTCTGCCATCCCTCGGGTTAAGCTTGTGCTCCTGAATTGCTCTTTTGCAATAGGGTAAACAAGTAAATGTTCTGGGGTCAGGAGATATCTGTTGTCTATAGAAGCAAGCTTATTTTGCCTTTTTCAGTTTGTCTTTAGAACCCTAGCACCCTATAGGAAAGAAAAAAAGCAGAACATCTCAGAACCGTCATTTTTGAGAAATGGCAGCATTTGTCATTCATATAGAAGATTTCCAGCTACCGCTGCCTCTTGATGAAAGCAGAACAAGCACGGCTATCCCTTTTTCACAGCTGATGAAACAGATACAGATTAAGTGATTGCCAAGCATGATTTACTAAGTTAGCAGCACAAGTAGTAATACAGCCCTGGACTTCCAACCCTGGTGCGTCAGCTTCTGGACCATGCTTTTCCCATTTGAATGACTAATTTTTTTAAGTTCCGAGAATTTGTTCATCTTTTTCTATGATAACAATCAGAAGATTTTGAGTCTCTAAGAATTAGTATAGATTTACTGCAAAAGTTGAATAAAATTAGTACTTTTCATTAATGCCTTTGCCATTGGTAATGGAAAGAGAAGACAGCGGATATAGAGACAAACACCAGCAGCTAAACTTTTATTGCACTCTCTGCTTCTGAAGTCCATTCAAGAGTAGGACAGTGGGACAAAAATAATTATAGGGGTCTTTCTACACAAAAGAGCCAGCTATTTAGAGGCCGGCAAAGTCATTTGAATGTCAATGAAATAACCATTAAAAGGCTGAGAAGCATTGCCATTTATTAAAAGATCTAAAGAATATTTGCATGCACTATAGCAATCTTCTAGGTAGAAGCTGTTAATTTGGTATAAAAACCTATTAGGGACAGGGCAGAACATAATTAAACAGGAGACAATACACACTGTGAAAAGGAAACTGGATTTGGAATTTTACAGCCTCATTTCATGTTTCTACATGAACTACTATGGTCTATAATGTCTCCTCAACAACACCTATGTATTTCTAGCTCCCACAGTGGTTTGCGTTTCATTTCTAGCAGTGGTCTTCTACAGCCTAGGGAAGA